AAACATGTATTTTATTATTCTAATTTTAGTTTTTAAATTATTAATATGGTATTAGAAAATATCTTTGTAAGTTTGTTTTGTTGTTTTCATTATTCAAATTTATGATTTCATCTATTTTATAGGTACCGTCATTATATTGTGATTAAAGGAATTATTATTTTAGACAATCATGGTAATCGTATATTTGCTAAAGTAAATAAATTTAATCATACTTGTATATATTCATTATCTTTTTTTAGTTCAATTTGGTATTATAATCAATTATTTTTTACAATAAAAGAACAAAAAGAATTTTAAAAATCATTATTTAATAAAACCCATCAAGGTTCAGGAGATGTTGTTATTTTTTTGATAATTTAATAATAGTCTATAGAAATAATGTTGATTTTTCTTTTTTATGTTGTGGGTCATACAAAAAAAAAATAAAGTATGAAATTTTTAAATTTAAAATAAAATCTTTAAAAAATATTTAAAATTTTTAGTTAGTGTTAAAGACTGTTTTAACATGTTTATTTGAATCTTTAAATAGAATGTTAAGAAAAAATATTTAAAAAAAAGACATAGTCTAGCATGATGATGTGGTTTTTCTTGCAATGGTTGCATTATTTAAGATTTTATTTGATACTCAATCATGCTAAATAGTAAATCAAATGATCATTATTTTAATTGAAATAAAATTAGCTTGACACAAACTGTCATATGCTCGTATTATGACTATAAGATTCGCTTTGTTTGTTTTTTGTCTTTGGAAAAATAAAAACTCGATCTGTTCACATCAATTAATTATTATAAAATAGGCAAAAACGTTTAGTATCTTTTTGTTATTGTTTTTTTTTTGATAATGAACTCTTTTTCAATAGCAGATGATCGTAATCGAGCAAAACATGGCAAATGGGGGCTTGAATTTATTGGATTTTGGTATATTCTTTTTGTTTTGTCTAATACATGACTGCATCATACGAATCTAATATATTTTAGGCTTCTTGGTCTTTGCAATAATTTTGGTTATGTAGTGATGTTAAGTGCTGCTCATGATATATTGAAACAAGAAAAGAATGATAATTCAACTCAATCGGTGTCACATAATACAACAAATCAATTTGATTGTAATCCAATATCAACAGGAGTGAGTAGATGAAATTAAATGAAAAATATTATGTAAAGACAATGATAAGATACATAAACAAAAGAGATTATTATTATAACAGAAATAGAAAACGAAAGAAAATACGAAAATATTTTTTTGCTTCATTTTAGTCTCGTATAGTTCTGATCTTGAATGATA